GGGCCCCCGGGGCGCGGAGGCCGGGGCTAGCCAGACAGGGACACAGAAGCTACTATCCACTCAGCTTGGTGGCAGGTCAGCGGGCCCAGCATTTCAGCAGGACGACTCGAATGGGGACAGTGTGCAGCCATGGACATGGGCCTGCCCCCCAAGTGCCTCTCCAAACACGTCCAGTGAGGGGCAAACACAGGCGTGTGGCCAGGCCATGTGCCTGCCTGCTCAGAGCTGGCCCCAGGGCCGGGATGTGCCCCAGGCTATGGAGCATCACTGCCACACCTGGAGAGCCCGTGACATGCCAGCGTCCTGACACTCGAATGAGGACTTGAGACTCCTGGGGAATGGAAACGAAGTAGCGTTTGTTCTGGTGCAAAGGAGACCCTCGACACCTGCGCAGTCCTGCTCACGTCTCCCACTAAAACGGCATCTGAAGAGCCTCCTGCTTTAGCTTAACAGCACGACTGTCCGCACAGGGGCATGTGGGTTTAAAGAAAGGATAGGAAGGGACAGCCTGTTGGGCAGTCCTGGCTGCAGGTGCCAGAGGCCAGCTCACACAGCGTCCTGGTCTTCCTGCCCTGTCTACAGGGACTGTCTGTAACCCACCATCAGCAGGGAGTGCCTGGGCAGGGCGGCCAAAGCCCGGGACCCAGCCCACCTGTCGAAGATGGCGCCCACCCCCGCGCTGTGGGCGCTGTTCCGGTGGACGTGCAGCCCGGTGGCCAGCAGGATCCCGTCCTTCACGGCGATGGACCGGTGTGAGAAGGAGGCGATGAGCAGCTCGTTCCAGCCTAGGGAGGGGGCATGGTCACTCAGCCGTCTCCAGGCCTGCCACCCTACCCCAGGCCCCAAAGCCCCGTGTCACAGACCCGCCCTCGGAGAACCTGAGCCAGCGTTCTCAAAGTGGGCTCTGTGGAACCCTAACCCCATGCAGTGTTCCACAGAAGAGGTTCCTGAGCACACAAGTCTGGGAAGCACTGAGCAAGCTGGCCCAGCCAGGCCTCGTGCAGGGCCTTCCTGACAGCTGGCCGGGCCCAGGCACTCGCCGACCCACAGAAGCCACTTTGTGCTCACTGCTGGTCTGGTCCCAGCAGTGAACCCTCCCAGACCAACGTGTCGCATGGAATGCCACCACACAGGGACTTCATGAACTGAAACACGCTGCGGGGGGCCAGCGGGGGCCCACACGACCAACCCACCCCGGTGGGGTCCCAGACCCAGAGTCTTGAAACAATGCCAGGCGCCTGGGGGCGTGCCCAAACTCCTGACACGAGAGAAAGGGAGAAGGTGCCACGGTGACCGGCCCTCTCCGCGTCTTTCTGGTGAGCGTACGTGCCCTGTCAGATCAACACAGAAAAGCCCCGGACAGAGAAAGCGCCCGGTTTCACGACTCCCAACCAGACAGCGGGAGGTGCAGCCAGTGCTCGCCAAGGGCCGGAAGGTGTCATGGCTGCCGGCTTCACAGGGGCCACCCAAAGCTGTCTGGGGGGGGGTGGGGGACTCAGGGGGGGGGGG